ATAAACTGGTTGAACTTAAATGTAAATAAATCATAAATGGCACAAATTTTATCCAAAATATGAACAAATTGAAAACTGACATCAATTCAAAAAGTAATTTCAAGTGAGAACCCTAAAGAATTACGACTTTTTTTTAGACAACTTCAAAATCAGCCAAAATTTAATAGAAAACAATTATCTTTGTAGACTGAACTAAGGTCACTGCAAAAGAAAAAATGTCATTTTCATATCATTTTTTGTTAAATTATCTATTTCTAATATAAGATTTTTAATTTCGTATCTATATTAAAAAATTTTACAAACAAGTTTTTAATATTTTCAAAATAGTCTTTATTATCAACTTTCATGCCATTATTTTATATTTAAATATTTTTATTTAATCTCTATATATAAAATATTTTTATAGTCTTTATATATAATACAATTTTCAAGTTAACTTTTAATATGAAAAAATTTAAATTATAAAAAAAAAATAAAAAATGATATTTTACATATAGGTATAAGAATGAAAAAAAGTGTTATGTGTATTGACCAAAATAAAATAATGTTATAGAGAATAATTTTTTATTTTAAATATTATTGCAACTTAACGTGTCTGAAAAAATTATTATGAGAATATTATATTAAAGAGTTCAGTAAACAAATAATTATTTTTATTCATTATAGAGAATAAAAAATAAAGTGTTAAATTGGTTTTTAAATGTTAAAGTCGTTTTTTTTTTACTAGAAAGTAATGGAAGTCTATTTTAGCTCTGTTACTTGATCTCTAAGCTAATATTGTTTTTTACTATAAAGTAGTGAAAATTTTACTCTCATTCCTTTATCTTAATAAGCCAAATTTCATGATTAAAATTTCTCAAACTTCTAAGTATAATTATACTTAATTACTTATTTTATGGACAAGATTTAAACAGATTCCCTTAAGTATATATATATATATATATATATATATATATATATTGTATTTCTCTCCAATTAAATTAAAAATTTACCTTGATAATTAATATAATAAATGTTGGCATTAATTTAAAAATAAACTTTACTTTTAATTGAAGAACCATATGAAATGTATTTAAGATACTACATATAAATTTTATCCTTAAATATTCTCCTAAATAATTTAACAAAAGTACTACATATAAATATTTTCTAACATTATTCATAACCACGTCAAGCTATGATGATATTAATTAAAGTTAGTAAATTACTATTTGTCACCTAATATGAATCAATATACACATCTTTTAACATTTTTTATATGAATTTTATTTTATCCTCTATGTATAAAATATTTTATTTCTACACATAACACTTTTTTTATTGTAAAATACTTGTTATTATAATTTATATAATTTGATTTTTTTCATATAAAAGACAAATAAAAAAATACGTTGTATATAAAGATTACAATAGAAAAATATAAAAAATTGTAATGTAATGAACCTAAAATAAAAAAATATTAAAATGAGATAACAATGTCATAAGTAAAGTTAACAACGTAATTATTTTTTTTTACACTTAAGGACTTGTTTACAAACTTTTGTATACAAATTAAATTGAAAACATGAGTTTCGTATAAAAACAAAATATTTAAACTTAAAAGTTAAATTATTATTTGCAACGAGTGTTGTGATCATTTTCATAATACTACTGCACAGATATCCTACCTATTTGACATTACTTTTTTTAAATAAAGATAAAAATTAAAGATTAGTAAAGGTTAATAAAAATCAACATAAAGCTAATAAAGATGTGGATGTCATTCCAAAATTTAGAACATAATTAATAATGACATGGGTAAAAATAAATTTATTGTAGTAAAGAAAAATATAATTCATATATTATTATAAAAAAATTAATCTTAAATATATATATATATATATAGTGAACTAAATGACAAAGCCAAAAAAAAAAGTTGGCAAACTAGTAGGTTAATGAGTTAATCCATCCAAAGTTATGATAAAAATAGAATACAAGCTATAAAAGTAAATAAAAATTTTAAAAATATATTTATATTAATAAAAATTAATATTTAACAATTAAATAATTATTTTTAATTTTTAAAACTTGAAAATTGGGCTTAATTGGTTAACTTGTCATTAATTCATATTTTGATGGATTAAAATAAGGACATAATTTTCAAGTTAACTTGTCATTTTTAGCAAGTTAAGTGAGTTGCTTATCAGCCTTAAATATATTTATATTAATAAAAATTAATATTTATTATTAAATAATTATAATTTAAAAAAATTTAAAAATAAGTTTAATGAATTAACATATTTTTAACTCACAATTTAGTGGATTAAAACAAGACAAGCCAGCTTGTCATTTTCAGTGAGTTAGGCAAACTGGTTATCAATATCAAACTAATTTGTCATCCTTATAAATAGTAGAATATCCTATATAAAATAAAGGTTGATGGTTTATTTGCAGTGGTTGTGATTTTTAAAATTTTTATTTTAAAATCAAACATAGTCAACTCAAAATATAATATTTTAAAAATTTTAAAACAAAAAAAAAGTAATTAAATTTTAGTATTTTATTGAAAAAAATTATTAAACTTTTATATCTCTTAAAAACATCTAGAAACTTTTACCATTATTTCTAACATTATTATTAGTATTTTTATCACTAATTATCAATAATTATTATAACAACTATTACATGTCAATAATTATTATTATAACAAATATTACTTTCAATTGTCATTTTCATGGTTATTTTATCTCTATTACAATAATCTTTGTTATCATAATACTAACATTCTTATGTCTTTATTCTTGACACTGATACCAACACTTTTATGTCTTTGTTGTTAACATTAATATATTTATTATTATCACTACTATCATCATCGTTTCTATTGTCATAAGTTAAGTGTTATTGTCATTGTCAATTCTATTGCCTTTTACATTGTCACCACTATTACTAAATAAACTTGAATGAAGAAGTGTTTTAAAATTAAGATACAATTTTAAAATTCAACAACTAAAAATTACAAAAAAAAGTTAAAAATTATTTTTTTTATTTTAAAATTTTAAAACTTAAAACTAACGTTTATACTAAAAGATTCTAAATTTATATATTATACTCAAATTATATTTTTAAAATAAAAAATAATATTTATTCTAAATCATATTTTTAATATTTTATATAACACAATTATTAGAATTAAAGTTAATTAGAAAATAAAAAAAGTAGGAAAGAGAAATTTAGTTTTATAATTATATAAATATACATTTGAAGTGTTTTATTAACTTTGTAAGTTGTACTCACTCCTGTACTATTTAATAATTTAATTTTAATATCAACTATTAGTTTTTAAAATTTCAATTACATAGATTATATATGTAAAATTTTATATTTATTTAAAATTATTTAATACTTTATTCATGTATATCAAAATTAATGTAATATATATATATATATATATATTAAAATTTATAAAAATTAAAACCATTTAATAATAATTTCATAGATGTTTGATTTTAAAAAAAGTAAACACAAATAATCTATGTAATATATTATAATTTAACTGTTAAATTGATAAAAATTAATATTTATATTAAATTATATATATATATATATCTTAATTGTACTTTTGATTTTTATATTTTAATATATGTAAAATTTTGATTCTCTTAGTTTTAATCCTTACATTTGGGAATTCTAATTTTTTAAATGTTCAAATTGAGTAATATATTTCAAAATGTTATCTAATAATTAATATAAAAATAATAAAAATGAAATTTTATTAATTTATATAAATAAATAGAAAATATACAAACTATTTAAATAAAAAATACTAAATAAAATATATAAAATATAATACATTTTTTTTTAAGAAAAAGCTTAATTTAAACATTTAAAAAATTAAATAAATTAAATATGAGCATGTAATTTAAAAGACCAAAATTATATATACATTAAAATACAAGGACAAAAAGTAAAGATTATGATGTAGTATATTATTATTTTCTAAATTATTTCCTCATTTGTTTAATGTTTATTCTCACAACATATACGAGAGTATCTTATCTCATATTCAAAACATAAAACAAACTCTAATATCTCGTATCATTTTTTGAGTGAAGTTCTCGTAATTTTACACGATCAATGGGTATGAAGTGGATGAAAAAAAAAGTGAAAAGAAAAAAAAAAGCAATATAAAAAAAAGAAGGGATAAAAAAGATTAGGTACAAAAATATAATTATTACTTTAATGCATACTCCGACCAAAAAAAAAGTTAAAATATTTGGTTTTAAACATATTTTTATTATTGACCACAATTTAATACCTAAGTCTATATAAAATTTATTTAATAATACAAAATATATTAAATCAAAGAGAGAGATAATAATATTCTCGTACTGTAAAATACTCGAATAATCGAATGGGACTAGTTTGAGTAAGTGACTCAAATGATAAATTTGTGTATCTATTTTAGTTTCTTATATATTAAGGAATATGATTTGTTATTTCTTATCCTTATGGCAACTTCAAATAACTTTTCCACTGCCAATCCAAAGCTTGTCTCCCCCATTCGTCGCTTTTTCTATGTTCTCCTCACCGCTTCATGTAAGGGTTCATTCACCTTAATCTTATCAAAAGTAAAATTTGACTTTTTAACTCTTTAGTGGTATTTGGAATCCGAAAATGATGGTCTTAAATGGGTGAAGGATGTTAGAGATAAGAAGAAATTATTTTGTGTATTTTTATTATTTTTTAAATTAAAAAACAAACAATTCTTGTTCTAAAAATCTTGCTAACTAGTATTTTAAGTACACTAATTACAAAATTTAACAAGAAAATAACTAAATAAGTTAAAAGTACAACAAAAATTATAATAAAAATGCATTAATAATATAATAAAACATTTTACTTTTTACTTTTCAGTTAAATTACTAGTTAGCACTTATTTTAAAAAGAAATTAACTTTAAAGAACAAATATTAATTTAAAATTTTCTTTCTACTTAAAAGCGCAAAGGGTAAAAGAAGAAGGCCAGCTCTGTCTTTGTGTGACGAAATTTCATTCACTGGATTCTGACCAAACACTGGAAATGAAAGTAACTGTTCGTTGCTAAAAATCTGTTTCCCCTTCGATGAATCTGAGGTTCTGAATAAAATAAAATCAAAAGATAAAAGCTTTGGAGCAACACATTAAGACAGCTTTTACATACACTGAAAGAGAGAGAGAATTCACGAGTGTATCACCGCCAATCTGCAAGCTGAAGTAGTGCTCTGGAAATCCGAAATACCCATTTGGGTTGGTGAACCATTCACGTGTTGGAACCATTTTTGGTCTTTTTCTTCACCCACCAACTCCAAAATCCAGTGGTTCACACCCAACCACGTCAAAGGCCACGCCTCTGTTGAATCAGAACTTTTGGAATGACAATAATGTGAGAGAGCTTATTGGGTACTCCAAAAAGGTTTCTTTTTTTCTTCTTTTAAGTTTAAGCAGATGGATCGGTCTGCCATGACTGTTGGGCCAGCAATGGATATGCCGATCATGCATGACAGTGATCGCTATGAACTTGTGCGTGACATTGGTTCTGGCAATTTTGGTGTTGCCAGGCTCATGAGGGACAAACACACCGAGGAACTTGTTGCTGTTAAGTATATTGAGAGAGGTGAAAAGGTTCATCTTCTAAAATCTTTGGTCTTTTTTCTTTTAATTTTTTTCTTTTTAGTGCATAAAGTGTATATCAATCAAGTTTATGCTTGTATATGGGGGTGTGAGTATTTTGAATCTCATATTGGTGTTTTGATCAACATCAACTGAGTTTTAATAGAATTCATGTTTTAAGTTTTAACTAATTTTTATTTCTTTGTAATTTGTTTTCATGTAATTCATGTTTCTGATGGTGGGTGGTTTAGTTTTGAGTTCGATGCTGTGAAAGGAAAACAGTTTAAACTTGGTTTCAGATGTGTCGTGTTACCTTATCTTGGTCGCATTTTTTTTACTTCATGTGTGTCTTTCTTGTGTTTGGGTGGACTCGTGTCCTAATTGAAGTTGTATGATGTTGCTACTATTTTTGGTTAGTATCACATGATGACGTGGTTTAAAGGGAAACTTTTGTTTGGTATGGTATGGTATGCTCAATGTAAAATTCTAGACAATGGTTGTGTTGGTAGATTTGTCATGAGTTTAATCATACTTATTTCTTAACAGATAGATGAAAATGTACAAAGGGAAATTATAAATCACAGATCACTGAGGCATCCCAATATTGTCAGGTTCAAGGAGGTTTGTACAGTACACTACTCCTAATGTCTTGTCCCATTTCTTCATATCTTAGAAGTATTGTAATTAGCCCTCTGTTGATTTGACTTTAGGTTATATTAACCCCAACGCATTTGGCAATTGTTATGGAATATGCTTCTGGAGGAGAGCTATTTGAGCGAATATGTAACGCAGGGCGGTTCAGTGAGGATGAGGTTTATATCTGTTCTCTGTTACACCGATTCTTCAAAAATCATGATGTATGCGTGTGGTATTTGTATTCAATACCGATACGCATATGACACACTAGCATTCATAACAGCTGCATATCCCACTTGCTTACCGATTTTGACCTTTGCGATACTTGTGTTATTTAACTTTTAGTGTGATATTTTTATATTTCATGGATTTTTTAGGGTATTTTTTATTTTCATTTTTGGAAAGTTATTATTAGATTAAGATTTGGTTGAGATTATAATAAAATATTTAATATGACATACATAAATATAAATATATTTTACTTAATATATAATATCACACACCCGTATCCAAATATTTCAAACTTTTGTCATATTTGTGTGTTGTATTGTATAGTACTGAATACTCATATCTGTATCCGCACAAACATAGTATCGGGTGCATTCGTTCATTTGTGTAATGCTGCTGCATGTGCCTTTTAATGCCAGTTATTTTATGCTGTAGGCACGCTTCTTCTTCCAACAACTTATATCAGGGGTTAGCTATTGTCATGCAATGGTACATGAGTTCATCACATGTAGTCTTTAATTTTACCATAGTTATTTGCTGCCCAGAAGATATCACAAGATGTTTAATTTGGATTTCTATATTTGTCTTCTTTAATGAAGCAAGTATGCCATCGTGACTTGAAGTTGGAAAACACATTGTTGGATGGTAGTCCAGCTCCTCGTTTGAAGATTTGTGATTTTGGCTATTCAAAGGTATAGTTCATTCTTTGTATTGGTTTATATTTGTTGAGACCTTCAGATATGTAGTATCTGCATTCCAGGTTGTGGCGCTCAAATTTCAACTGGGCATTGTTTAGAAAGTTTTTGAATTTGTAGGTTTCTCCAAGTCCAAAATCGAGCAAATATTTTCATCATTCATTTGTTGTTAATGGACTAATTTGTGATACCTACACATCTTGATTGTCCTAATTTTTCAGTCCTCAGTACTACATTCACAACCAAAATCTACAGTTGGTACCCCTGCATATATCGCACCTGAAGTTTTGCTTAAGAAGGAATATGATGGCAAGGTAAGATGTAACTTTTATCACTTGAGTCCATCTAACCGTTGAGACTTTGATAATTCCTGTTAAGTTGTTCTTTATTTAGCTTATATATTTTTATAGATTGTGTTTATAAGCTTATATAGAGTTTTGTTTCCATTTTGCTCAACTTTCCGTTTATGAGTTGGTATCTGTACCACAATGACCAGTTAATTGGCTTCATTACTTTTAGACTCTACCAACTTAAGTACCAGGAGAGTTCTAGCTTCTAGGTTTCATCTGATTAAGAAACTTACAATGTATATTTCACAATGATCCGGGAGTTTTAGCCTCAACCTACTTGTTTAGTATAAATATGGTAAATCTTAAACTTTGGTTTACAACTGAGGTTAATATGTTTGGCTAGCTGATGGAGAAAGACCTACAACAATGACCAAAATCATCCCCCCTTTGTCCCCAGAAGAAAACCAAAAGAGTGGAAAATGTAAAATATTTCTCCAGTTTGAATCTTTCTTCTGTGTGTGTTGGTTGTATGGGGACCATCTCGAGGAAGAAAATTATATAAACGTAATAGGCAATCAGGCACCATGTTTCTGGCATGAAATTATATTATCTTACATTTATGGGTAGAATCAAAGGTTAGTGAATGCTATTTTACACACACGATCCAGTACTGTAAAATTCTGAAGCTGTGATGACACACCAATACTGCATTCAGGTTAGCTTTTTAATTGATTACTCCATACTAACGTTGACACTCAATTCTAATTCAGATTGCAGATGTTTGGTCTTGTGGGGTGACCTTATATGTCATGTTGGTGGGTGCATACCCTTTTGAGGATCCAGAGGAACCTAAAAATTTCCGCAAGACAATACATGTAACCGATTCCACCCTTTTTCAATCAATGTGGCTCTTTGAGTGAATTAGTTTTCCTAAACTGATGGATGTTGCTTGCAGAGAATTTTGAATGTTCAGTACTCAATTCCTGACTATGTTCATATATCTCCCGAGTGCCGACATCTGATCTCAAGGATTTTTGTTGCTGATCCTGCGAAGGTCAGTCTTAAAACATGTAACTGTAATACTTGCTTCTCCTCCTTCTATTTGTGTGAAGGATGATGCATTATCATTTTAATTTGGAAACCAATCTTGTTTCAAAACAGAGAATAACTATTCCTGAGATTAGAAACCATGAGTGGTTTTTGAAGAATCTTCCAGCTGATCTCATGGATGGAAATGATAACAACCAGTTTGAGGAGCCTGATCAACCAATGCAAAGCATAGAAGAAATAATGAAGATAATTAGGGAGGCTACAATTCCTGCAGCTGGATCTCAATCTCTGAACCCGTATCTTACTGGTAGCTTGGATATTGATGAGGACATGGAGGAGGACTTGGACTCGGATCCTGACCTTGACATTGATAGCAGTGGAGAAATAGTTTATGCTATGTAAGTTGGTGGAAGACCATTGAGCTCACTTTGGGGGTCAATAATGTTATGCCTTGGGGTGGTGTGAAATATGTACAAATATATTCCATTTTCTACTAGAAAGGATTCTGTGATTGAATTTTCCTTATGGAGGGAGAGAACCTAACCTCCTTGTATTTATGTTGTATTTATAATCTTACCTGATTACGTGCTCGTTTGTATTCATAGCTGTGTTATATTTATCGTACCAATGAATGGGGATTCTCTTTATTTTTCTCTTCTTCCTTGTCTTTTTTGTATCTGGGCAACATGAGACATAAGCGTGGCTAATCTTGAACTTAAAATTATATATGAAAATTCTCCGCAAGTGTGTGTAAGCACAATGGGAATAGTTCTTTTTTAAGAATGAAACAGTAATAAATAATAATCGATATTCTTTTTTGAAAAGCTCAAATTTTGAAAATATTGTTTATTATGATATCACTTTAAAAAAAATTAAGTTTATTTGGTCTCTATTTTTTACAAAATTAATAATTATGCAATTAACTCTCTTTGGCAATGCCTCTAATAACCTTTTTTGTACACTTTTAAGATAATTTTTTATATTTTTTTATAAGTGGCACACTAACATCTTTATCCATGTAATTATTTCATTTCTTGTCTTTTTCAACATTTTCATACACTATTTTTAACATTTTTACTTTTTAACGTAAAACTTTCTTTAAGCTTTTTTTTTCTACTTTAACTATCCAATTTATATTTTGCACGTAATATTTTTATTAATTTTTTATCATTTTAAAAAATTGATTAGAAATATTTGAATTTGGAAACCTATGAAAAACTTTAATTTTTATCTCCGAAACATTTTCATCTTATTTTAAAAATGTTATATATATATATATATATATTTTATTTTTTTTTCCGAAGCATGAAGATTGACTCTCTAAGTTCTGCAGTGCTTTGACCGTACCAAGACCCTGATAACTAAAGAATGAAAGGACAAATGCTGAATTTTGTGTCTAATCGATCAAATTAAATGTTAATAATTGATGTTGCATGTGTATGTATACTTTTCGGAAAAGGATCTCTCATGTTCAAAATAGGACATGAGGGTCATGTAATTTTAGGGTTTAGGGTCATGTTTAAAATAGGACATGAGGGTCATGTTGCTAACAAAATTATAAAATTACACCAAAATTACTCTGATGTTCGATTTTTAACGTGAGGAGATCTGGATCCATACTTTTCTTGTTAAAATGTATATTTCTACAAGATAATGTTGTGAATTGATACTTAGACACAAACAATATGCTTTGTGCAGTACACTGGAATCATACCTGACACAATCCGTAAAAACCGTCTTTCTCTCCAACAACCACAAAATTAAAATAGAGAGATAGAAAGCTTGATCTGCTTTTTTGCTTTGGCGCGTGTCTTTGGTACTTCCCATTTTAGCTATACTTGCCCTGACTGAAGTCAACTGGATAGAAGACTCTCGTTATGGTTTGAAGTCTGGTAGTTAGTTTGGTTCAGAAAATATTTCCTTTTACTATAAAAATATCAATTTTTTATTTTAATTTTTAAGGTTTGTAGATATATATAGATTTTATTTTTTTTAACTTTTATAGTTCCCTATAAAATTTTTATATAAAACTAAAATAAATTAATTTTTTTAAAAATAAAGTAAAACTTAAAAATAAAAAATGAAAATTTTCTTTAAATAAACAAGTTGAAAAGTTACTCAAGAATTCTTCATATCGCTGGACGGAAATATCATTTTTTTATTGTTCACAATATTTCTCTTGTAATTATTTTTCTTTTGTATTATTAACTAATAATATTATAATAATAATACTATAATAATAGTGATATTGCTGGTACAAAGTCAAAAAAGGATTCTAGGCTAACATCCTTAACGAAAAATTCTATTAAAATATTTAACAAATTTTTATACCGTAAACTCTTGAATTCACGTTTTTAAATTTTTTTTCACCGTCTCTTGTTAATTTTCACCTAATATTGAAGCATATATCATACAAAAATAATTATTTAATTAATTATTATGGTTAAAAGAATAAATTTATTAAAATACCTTTATTAAAAATGTAAAACTTATTATAATAATTAGGTGATGATTAATTTAAAAGTTATAGATAAAAAAAGAAAAAGAAAAAGAAAAACAGGTTGAAGGTATCAAAATTGTTGTTTGGTACCTTAAAAACTTCAAACACAGTGATCTCTTAACCTTGTCCCGGATTAGATCATAGAACTCTTTTAATTATAACAATAATAATATCATTTTCTCATTGAACTGTACATGCATGTTATTTACACGTTAATAAAAGAATATAGCATGAATTGGCTACACACAACAAAATACAACAACACTGTTTACTATCGTTCAAAACTGGAGAGGAATGGACCTTGGGATGCCCTTGGTGGAGTTGCACGATTCTCCTCGGATCTCAAATTCAAAGGAGAAGCTTGTGGCATGAGCTCAGATAATCGAATCTTTTCATTAATAATTTTATTCTGTGTAAAAGGAGCACAACGAGTCCTTTAAATTTTGACTTGGAAGGATTCGCATTCGAATTAATTACTCTATTTTGTGTATTGTGTGCATACCTTAAACTTCAAATCTTCTTGTTCCATTTCCAGACAAGTTATCTTATTTTTGAGCTCCTGTAAGGCTTCCTCAGCCATAGAAGGGTTTACTTCTGCGGTGGATTTTGTTATTCCAGCAGCCTGAAAATAAAGCATGAATCATTATCTGAGCCTTTGTTTAGTGCATTGGAGAGGTTAGAAGACAAGGGGCAGAGCAAGAACCTTTAAAACATTAGTGGACAATCTCAGTAATTGCTGTGCTAATTGTACCTTCTCTTCCTCGATCTCCTGTGGTATATTGTTCACAAAAATATTTAGATATTTATTTAGCTACTTAAGTACAACACACCACTTCTTTGGTAACTGACGAACCTTTAGCTTTATCATCACACGCTGCTCCTCATCAAAATTAATACATGGTTTCGCCCCGGCAGAAGCACGAATACGAGCAAGATCCTCTTTTACACGCGAATGGAAGTTCTCTGCCCTCCGTAGCCTTGTGCTGAGTTCTTCGTTTTGTATCTTTAACTTGTTGTTTTCCTCCTGTTGCATAATTCCACGATTAAAATGCACGATTGAATTCCACGAACGGAATTATAAATTAACGATAACATGCCAATTATTATCATTATCTCAATACCATAATAACAAAACCTTATCTCACCGTGTAAAATTGACTATATGTTATGATGACATCACAAAACGTTAGTAAAAATTAAATTCTCAGATATTATTTAAATCATGAGATTTCTCTTAATATTTTTTTCAAAAATTTGAGATATTCCTCTACCTCTTTTAATATGCCTTTAATAACCTGTTATACACGTTTAATAACCTTCAAATCTTAAAATTCATTCACTTTCCAATTCTTTTTTTTTTCTCTTTGCGTTCAAATCACCGTTTAAATAATTTTAATAAACACTTTATTTTAATAGGAGCTACTTTAATATTTTCTCAAATACAATCAATTTTTTATCATATAATTTTTTTATGCAGTCACACATGTATTTTACATTATCATTTCTGCAATTTTTACTTCTTTTCTTGCATTGCTCCTTGAAAGCCTAAGATTTGCTACAATAGAAGATTAGTTATATAATAATATAATAAAACTTCATTTTAAGCTTGATAAATATTTTTTACAGTAATAAATAATTCATGACGTCTTTTCTTATTTTAACCACTAAATTTGTATTCAATGTAATATCTTCATTAATTTCCTTATATTTTGAAAAAATGACCATCAATACTTAAACTTAGAAACATTTAGTATGATATTATAAATTTTAATTTCTAAAATGTTTACATCTTATTTCTTACTAAAATTGCTATACATATGTTTTGTTTTACTCCTATTGAAACAAAAAATTAAATTTTAAAATTTGTTTGGAAAGCTCAAGTTTAGGGTTAACTTTCTTTTTTTCATGGTTTCTCAATGAGAATTGTCATTTGCAAAAAAATATGAATTTAATTTATCTTTTTATATCACTTACAAACACATTTAAAATTAGGCTAAATTAGAAGGATTCAAGGATAACTCTTTAAATCAATTGTTATGTAAGAATCTTTAAATGCACTTTCCAAAAAGTTTTTATACTTATTGTATGTTTTGTTTAATTCAAATATAAAAACCTAAACATTTTTTTCTTTTCAAAAACATTGACAGCTCTTCTCTTAACACAATCATAAGCCTTTTTCAAGTTAATAAAATAATATATATTTTTTGGTTTCATTGCTTTTCCATTGACCTTGTTAGAAGATATATAATTTGTGTTATAAATCTTTCAATAAAACCTAATGTTGTGTTTGGATGAAAAATTTTAAAATTTTAGAAATTATAAAAGTAATAATAAGGGATGCATAGTGAAAGTTAAGTATGAGAGAAGTAATTAATGATTAATATAAAAAGTTAAACATAACAAAGATTTTTAAATTCTCTCTTCAATAAGTCATTTGAAATATTTTTACTGAACATAAATATTATCTTGTTAAAATTATGTAGTATTTAAAAAAAAAAAAAATACCTTTTTTCTTATTATCTAAATACATAAATTGTAGTAATTATAAAATACACTATCCAAACACAACCTATGTAATATTACTTTCTTTGATCCTTCTCATAAGATATGAATACCTAATTCATTAAGATCAATAAAAAATAGTCATAAATTTATAATGTATTTAAAGAAAATTCATACTAATAAATAGTCAAATTAATAACTAATATATTAAATAAATGAGTTTTTCCACTTACATAAGTAAAGAAAGTGATTTGTTAATACAAATCTCACAAAAAATAAAGATACAAAAAAAAAAAAATTAAATACATGTGAAAATAAATTTTTGTTTATTTTATTTTGAACCCAAAAAATTAATAGTAATTACTTCTTATAAGACTAGAGAAAACATTCATAATTACAATTTCTTTTTCTTATTTTATACTCAATTATTATTTTCATAATTTTATAAGTCAAAATCTTTCTTTGATCCTTGTGGTAAGATACAAATAACTAATTCATTATGATCAATAAAAAAAATAGTTATATGTCATAAACTTAGTGTATTTAAAAAATACTCATAAATAAATAGTCAAATTAGTAACTTACATATTAAATAAATTTCTGCAAACTTATAAAGAGTGTTTTGTTAATACAATTTTTTTTAAAAAAATAAGGGTACCAAAAAAATTAAAAAATTAATACATCTAAATATAAATTCTTATTTATTTTATTTTGAGCCCAAAAAAATGTATTAATTACTTCTTATAAGACTAGAGAAAACATTTGTAATTTCTTTTCTTATTTTATAAATATTTTTTTCATAATTTTATAATATGGTTGATTAGTTTTATTCATACGTAATTTTTTAGTTAATAACATGAAATAAATTTTAAAATTAGTCATCTAGATCCTATGATTTTCCTATCATTTTCTAAAAACGCTATTAATCTCAAACTTTGTTTAATAATATTTATTTTACCTTTTTTAAGGTAAAATAGGTCAAAAATTGGTCTAACCGGCAATCTATGAACCAATTCAAGAGTTTACTCCAGTGCTACTAGATTTAGGGCTGCGATAATGAGGTAGGAAGCAAACGTCTAGGCAAGTAAAATTATAAAATCTTACCTTAATTTTAGCATGATGATGAATACGCTGCTGAAGGTTTTGCTGACCAGACAACTTCTTCATTTCTTCCTCCATTTCCATTACTTTATTTTTCTTGCTTGCATTTTCCATCTGCACAAAATGGGGGCACCAGAGCTCGCCAATTAGAAACGAAAGAGAAATAAATTCACCCCACAAAAGGAGAGATTGCATGGGATATTATGGAGAGAGTTACACTTTCTAATGAATAAACTTTTTTATTCCTTAACCATCATAGAAGTTTTAATCTTTCTACCTTCAGCATTTCATTTTCAGTTTTTAGTAACTGGTCTCGCTGCCGAAGGTTTTCCAATGCAATTTGTGCGGCAACTAATTCGGCTTGCTTCCTATCCATTTCTTGCAGCCATCTGACAGGTAGGAATTTAGAGTCATAAAAATTGTATATATAAGAAAGGAAAATAAAATAGTCTAGCATCTGAAATTCGATTCTGAAAGTTCCAAAAAAAGGGAAAAATCTGAAATTTAATTACCCTTTTCTCTCTTCAATGAATTCATTCAGCTGCTTCTTTAGTTTAATAACCTCCTGTTCCTGAAATAAACAAGCATTCAGCTTAACTAAGCTTCCGCAAAATAACAGCGCAGTCTAGTTCAAATGATTACCTTCTCTTGAGGCTCCAGAGTGAGAAATTGGGCTTTCTCTGTAATCTTCTGCACTTGCTCATTATCCAGTAGTGACTACATCAATGAAAGGAGATTAAAGGTGAATGTTTTTTGGTGAATAGACCTCTAGATATTCTTTTGTAAAAACCTTTTTTGATATTTATATCTTCCTCACTTTTAAGGGAATGATTACTGAATTTCCTGTTTCTACCATATATCCACGATTATAAATTACAAGGGCATAATTTCCTTTCAAAATAATGATTAAATGAAACACTTTGATCTTCCTTTATGTATCCCAAAAATGAAATATGAAAACACAAAGGCATGCCAAGAAAAATTGCCTAAAGTAGATGAGTTTACCACATAAGTCGTCATATCCAACTTTACTCCAAGTAAGTCTCGAATTACATCATGGGTCATGCTCTCAGCATCTGCTAATCTGGCATTCAGAGAAAATATCTGGACAAGAAAAAGGAAGAAGGATATAGAGGCCCATAAAGGAAAAGCCAACCACTGTAGAATATACGATTGAAGAGAAAAGCCAACCTCTTTCTGTCGAATTGCTGCCTGGGATTCTAGTTCTTCAATGCGCAGTCTTGCAACAGACAGCTCTTCAACCTTCTCAAATTTTATCTGTTGTGCCAAGCCCAACCCAATGCATTTGAAAGGAGAACCAGAACCTCGAGACTTGGTGGCATTCTTCTCAGATTTATTATTAGACAAAGCATTGGTGGAATGGGTAGAAAGGCCTTCAGGTTTGACATGCTCAACCATGGCTTCCAATGCTTTGAACTGATTTAAAATAATAATATATTTAACATAATGATTATAAAATAGCTTATAAAGAAAGAATGCAAGATTGATCTCCATGTGAATATCTGGTCCTGCTGAGCTTTAAACTATAACTATTATGACATCCATGTACATTTTCTTAATACAGTTACTATAATTACTTACTTTCTGCCTGTACTCCTTGGCCTGTGCTTCAGCATGCAAATTTAGCTCGGAAATATGAGCTTTCATTTGTGCAATCTAGCAGAGACCAGCCATTAAAAATGGAATTTTTATTTGTTATCCGAAACTTCAATCCAAAAGACATGATTAGTCAAGGTGTAAAAGTTTTACCTCTGTATCCTTTCCTGCCAAATCCCTCTTTAGAACCTGTACGTGATTTAGGGCTTCGTTGAGGCTTTTTTCTTTGTCATTCAAAAATCTATAGTAAATGAAGAGAAACAGAAAAATGTTTAATATTTTTTTTAGCACAGCAGATATGCAAATGCCTATGATAAAGTAACCATATATACGCAAAAAGGTGTGTAGTTGGGAATCAATGGCCTAAACCTTCTCATGTCACCATCAGCATTTCTAACATTTTGCATCTGATCTTTTAATGCATGAAGCTCCAATTCTAAGTCTTCTCTTTGCAGCCTTTGTCGTTCTGCTTCTCCTTTAATTATGTCAACCTGATCAAAATATGAAACGAAGTGTAACGCCAATGTAGACAAGCTTCTTGTCAAATATTACCCACGAAAATGCAACTCACTTTGTTTTCTAGTACATTTACAGTATTTTCCAGTTCTTCAACTGATCTCTCTAGAAGCTTCACCTCTTCTTCCTTGTCCTCGGCATAAAGTTTTCTTGTTTCTGCCATCTGCAATTATGCACAAATTTAGGACAGAAATGACAAAAACAGTCAGTCATCTAATTCATGTTTTTAATCCTTACAGTTGTTGCCGCTGAGTTTATCACTAATGCAGAAGCAAATCAATGGCATGGGAAAATTTATTTTTCAAGGATCAAACTTTTAATGTCAGGTTATCAATATCATATGCATCAATCTCTCTTGAATTCTGATTCTCAACTTCTGCTTTCTTAATTGTTTATCTAAATTGCATATAAAATTGTATAGATGCTAGAGTTGAAATATGTGCAAAGTTATCTGTCTCTAAAAACTGTACAACTAAGTGCAAATGCCACATCCATATTGACATGTTAGAGCTGCTAAAGATACAGCAGCTCCTTAAGACATGATGCTACAGAACAAAGTTCTTCAGGTTAGGAAAACATGAGTTATTAATTGATAAAAGCATTACCTTCTGAGCTTCTTGAGCAATTGCATCATTAGCTTCAGCTTGAGCTTCAGCCTTTTCAAGCCTGTCGTTGAGACAAATTACTTGACCCTGAAGCTGATCCCTCTCAATAGTGACTTCATCCAGATCGCTACTTAGGTATTTAATTGAATCATTCATTTGGCTAAGAACACTGCTCATTTCCAGGACTTCATCTTTAAGACTCTCTGTCATCTTCATTCTTTCTGTTAGCTCATTGTCAGTCAGTTTTCTTGCTGCCAAGGCTTCTTCAATATGATTTCTAAGTTCTTGATTTTCACTGACTTTCAACTTTAGAGCCTCGCGTTCTTTTGAGAGCTTCAACTCAAGAGCTGTAATTATGCCCGATTTTTCCTGCAACTGAGCTTCAAGCAATTGACAGTTCGCAACAATGTCAGAAAGCTCGCTTGATTTAACAACAAGATCTGTTTCTAATGCTTCCATTGTAGCCACCATTTCTTCAATTTCATCTTTTTGGTCTTTACAGTTTGATGCAGATTCCTGCAGTAAGCTCAGATCATACAGCAGCCCTTTTATCACATCATCCTTTCTGGATAACTCATCCTGCAATAAACCCTGCAATCTAGTTAACTCTGAATCCTTTAGGTTCAGCTCATTCTCAAGTCTGCAAGATGAATCTTGCAACATGTAGTTTACTTTCTTTAACTCTGCATTTTGATGTTCAAGAAAAGAAATCTGATGAGAAGAAAATTCAGAAGCCACTTCCTTCTCCATGATATTACCAAGTACTTTATCATAATCAGTTTCTAGATCAAGAATCTTATCCATCAGTCTTTTCTTGGCCTCTTGAACTTCAAAAAGTTCACCTTTCAATGCATTATTAGAACAAGCAACATCCTTTAGAAACTCAATTTTTTGTTCCAGGACCGTGTTTACTTCACCCATCTCTGTAATCCTTGAGACATTCTGGTTTAATTCCTTTAGAAGGTACTGCCTTTCCACTTTTGTCTGCTGAACATCTCTTTTAAGAAGTGAAACCTCAACCTCCTTATCCATCAAAATTTGCTCTGCTACCTCAGTTTCTACCTGGGAATAGATTGTTTCTTTCTTCAGTTGCTCAATTAATGTAGAGTACTTGACAAAATGCTCTTCCATATCAGCTATATTACATGCCATATTTTTAACTTCAGACGCATAGATAAGTGATTCGAAGTCTTTGGCACACCAATCTGCCATAAAAATTTCAGCTTGAGACTCAATGACTTCCACTTTCTGTTTCAGCAGTTTCTCTTGATCTAAAAGGGATGTCACGACATCTGTATTACTCAGATCCAATTCCCTCATTAACAAAGCTAGTTGGGATCCCATTTCATTAGACCTTTGCAACATCATCTCCTCCTGAAGCTGTAGGTCCGATATGTTCTTAGCAAAAGTGTTTAGCTTGATGGTGATTTCTCCAGCTTCTACTTCTTTCTTAGTAATGCGATCAAAACTGTTTTTGATGTCAGCCAGCAGCTTCCCTTTCAAGATTCTGCACATATCTAGCTCTTGCCTTGTCCTATAATTGTGTTCCTTCAAATTGCTTATAACAGAGTTTGATTCACACAAGCCATGTGAAAGCAAACCATTTTCTGCATGCATCCCTGTTACTGTTTCCAGCAGAATACCCATGTGACAGAGATGTAGCACAGACATAGCACAATCTTTAAAAACTATCTCAGACCATATATTCTCAAGCCATGGCTGTATCAACCTTGTGGAATATAAAAATTGAGACTTGAAGCACTCTAAATCACAAGCTAAAGACATGAAATCTTCCTTTGACATCAAATGGACCTCTTTAATGACATCATCCAGCTGACCAACTAAATCCCTTGTTTCCATAAGATTTGATTCAACGAGGTCCTCTATCTCCCGATGCTTCAAATCAACAACAGTTTGTAGGCTTTCAATATTGCTGACTAATGTACCCTTCTCACTGAGTAATGTGGCTTCTCTATCTTTCAGACTTTCTATATCAATCTTCATGGATTCATTAGCTATCACTAATTCATTGATCATAATATCTGCTTCTCTGATTGTATCTTGCGCTTCTTCAAATTTAGCAAGAACACAAGAAACCTCTTGAGCTTTCTGAGCTTGAATGATCTTTGCCTCTCCAACTTCAAGTTCAAGGTACTGCAAAGATAAAAGCATATTGTATGAAATATTGTTGAATGTTTATTCATTCAACCTTAAAATTAAAGTGACTGCCTATCTGCCTGAAGGAGTACAAGCATGTGACAAGAAAAGCAAGTTAATGCACATTGTTGAAATTATATAGTTTTAGGAGCAGGAGGTAAAAAAAGAGAATAGAAACTGAATACAATAAAATTGATATTTACTTGATTAGATGTGATGTGTTGTAATCTTATGATCAAACCTAAAGTACTAACCTTTATTTATATCAATAATCCTAAGTATCTAAAAGTGATAAATCAAAAGATATCCAGAAACATGGAAACTAAGAAAATACGAAAACAAATCGAAAGAGAGAATTTCTAAGATACTCTAAAATAATTTAAGACATGATTTGATATTATAGGATATTCTAATACATAATCAACAATAAGAATGATGTAAGAGAGCAAAAACAGTAAGATAGGTTTCATACTGCACATTATATTTCATTCACAAAACGACTACCTCTTTCCTTTGATGCCAAAGGGAGCCAGCTTCTTTCAGAGGTTCCTCCAGGTCTCTAAGTTTGTCACTGAGTACTTCAATCTTGACATTGAATTTCCCTTCAAAGAGGTCCATAGCTTCTTGTAGGGAAAGTATCTGAGGTGCAAGGCACTCTATGCTTTCCCGACTCTTCTTTTCACACATTGACATCTCCTTTTTCTCTTCATGCAATCTGGTCATCTCATATTGCACTTCTTTTAAGCTTTCAAGAGCACATTCTATTTCTTTTCTCAGAAGTGTAATGGTATGGTCCCTTTCACATGCACCCTTGCAAACTCTTCTTGATTTATGGTCTTTCTTTTCATATCCACTTTTGGTCAATTTAAAGGGTAAATCAGCCAGTTCAAGCATAGTTTTTTCAACAGAAAGTGGATCTGAATCACTCTTTTGATGTGGTTCAGAACTCATCTGCAACAATGCAAAAACATCAAATACTGAATAAAAACCATTTACAGATCACAGCCTTGAAGGAAATAAATGTGGCATTACCTAAAGTAATCTATCAGAGAGCAGCATTATCTTACCCTTGGTTCACCATTATCAATATAGTGTGATGTGCATGCATCCAATGATTTTCTATCTTCAAGACTTTCAGAACGGTCTGTAATAGAGGCCATGCATGACCTGATTGAAGAGACACCATCTTGTAATGTCACTAGCTGCTCCCTTGTCTCCAAAATGGCATTCTTTTCAATATCCTCAAGCTTTTGTTCCAAGGCACAAGAATGTTCTTGCTCCTCAGACAGCTTCTGCCATAATTCATCACATCTTTCCTGCAACTCTGCTATCTGTCTCTCTGCTTGTACAAGTGAAGTGGATTGATCAATGAGAAGGGAATCTTTCCTATGATTAGTCTCCGCTAATTCACTGAGCAGAATATCCTTGTATTTTATATCATCCAGGTGACCAAGATTCACCTCTGACAATCTATTTACAACTACAAAAGCTACTGTTGCACAATTTGATGCTTTTCTGATTTTATTTTCTGCCATCATCAACTGCTCCTCTAGCTGTGCCACAGCAGATGTTTTTCCACTCAGCTGTGAGGTCAATAGGAGAATTTCTTTCTCTTTTTCAGCACACTCCTTCTGGTGGGCTTCAGTAATCACCAATGCTGCACTTCGTAAGGACTTCAGCATACACTCCATATCACTCCTTTTATTGCTTGCATCTTCCAAACATCTTCTGAGTTCATCAATTAGTAATTCCTTCTCAGAAATGTTTCTAACGATCATGCCTACTTGTTCAGAAATCCAGATCCTTTTCTGTGGAAATGAATTTCTTATACGGCCAAGTTCGTCAGAGGCATCAACAAGTGCCTCACATCCATCAGCAAGAATCTCTTCAATCTCAGATGTTAATAATTCCCATTCTTCAGCCAGTGATCTGAGTTCTCTACCTTTCAGGCCAATCTCTTCCTTTAAACTTCGATTATCATCAACAGTAGCAAGTAATTTTTCCTGCACTTCCTTTACTTCAGTTTCCAAATGCAATATACTTTCTTTCATTTCTATTTCCTTCAAACGACTATCATTAACTTGTTGCTGAAGTAGAGCAAGTTCTTCCTGCATACACACTATCACCTCAGCTGTTTCAGCTTCAGCCTGCCGACGCACTTCATCCATCTCTTCCTCATTAGATATCTGAAATGCACGATCACTTTGGTACAACATGTTCAGTTGCTTGGCTTTTTCAAGAGAATCATGCATCCTTCGGAGTTTTACCTGTAAGGGGGACTCATTTTCAACCTTTAGATGATTTGAAAACAAATTATCTCTTAACTCGTTAGATGTAAGTTGGTTCTTCAAAGTCATGATTTCACGCTCTTGTTTCCCCGTAAGCTCCAAATAATGGCTGTTCTTGTTCCTCATCCCATCTTTTTCTTTGATAGATAATATTTGTTGTGATTCAAGAGCTTCAATAACAGATTTTGCCTCTTTCAGCTCATCATTTGCATCTTCTAATTGTTTGCTGGTCAGCATAAGCTTGTCTTGTGCCAACTGAAAATCCCGATTTAAGCAAGCTGTCTGCTCCTCCAATATACCACGGAAAATCCTCTCTTCCTTCAGAATGATCTTTACTATATCTAATTCCAGGTGCAAATTCAAGATATCATCTGTGTGTTTTAACATTTGAGATTCATGCTTCCCCCCCATCTGGGGAACTGCTTGAGCTTCACAAACCATTCCTTTTGTAGAAACCTGAAAGCAATGATGATAAATATTATTTCACATGACACTGAACTATCATCCATCACTGGGGGTAGAAAACAATGTATTTGTAGAAAATAAAGAACATAATGTGTATGAAATTTGCAGGTCAAAAGAATTCACATGATTTGTGTTTTGTATAGTATTGTTAAGAACAAAACAAAGAGATGTTATATCTGAATAACACAACTACCTTTGTGGCATTTTTGCTGCTTATCATTGGGTGAAGAGAATCTAATTCCCTGTATAAATATGCAATGCAAAAAAAATTAGGATTTTTACAGGCAAAATTTGGAACTTTAATATTTTAAGCAAAAATCGTACCTACTGAGTTTGGCATTCTCCTCTAAGCAATATTTTAAGTTACGCCTGCATTCCTGTAACTCATCAAGGGTGTTTATTAGCTGCAATCCATAAAAAGAAATGGTCACATGTTACAGTTTTGACATAAGAAAAGGTTACATTATTACAAAGGCAAGAATAAAACCTCTTGATCATCAGAGTCATTGTCTTTCTTGCAGCACTGAGTTTTCTGTACCAGTGGGGTAAATGAAAATTGTTAGAAATATACTTTATTTTAGCATAAACATCAACAGTCAATTACTGCTTCAATTAAGGGGCTATTTTTGGAGTTTATTACTAGTCTAATAATAACTGTACTCCATACCATACTAGGACAAATATATCCTTGTGTAGTCTGGTTTAGAAACATAATTTCAGCATGCATTTCATTTTAACAGGCAACAAGGGAATGAAATTTTTCAATGAATGAAATCATGAACTGCTTCAGGTAACTATAGACTGACCTCCAGCTGAATGTCGTGATTTGAATTGCCCTGAATGCTGTTTCTTCCATGAAATTGAAGCAACTGCAGAACAGAAGTTTTTCAAATAGGAAGCTTACACCAAGGAATCTAGAAGGGAAATTATTTCTGTATTAAATTCTAGAAACACAGGTACCTGTTCCCTCAAAGAAGACACTTCAGCCAAAAGAATCTCTCTCTCCCCTTCTTCATAGAACTCTTGATATCTGTGATAGTCATGGTAAGGGAACTATTAAAAAGATAAAATATTTCATACTCTTTCTCTAGAGACCAAAAAATAGATATATCACCTTCTAAGTTGGTCTAGAAGTCTGATATTCTCTACAGCAAACCTAGTAACTTCAGGATTTCGATCAAGTTTGCCCTGAAGTATCTGAATTTCATCAGACAGCGCTTTATTTTCTTCCTGCAAAAATGTGTCTGCAGGAATGGAACTAGCAACCCGGGATTCCAATCTATGAATTTTGTCTTCACGAAACCTAAGCATCATCTTGCAACTCCTAGTGTCCTCCTCTCTTTGACGAACCTGAGTAACAATGGATTTAAGGATAAAGAACTAAGACAGTTGACATATGAAACTCCAACAGCAAGAAGATCTTATAAGAGAAATACCAAACGGTTTAGTTGTTCAATTTCTGCTTCGAGTTGCTTAATAGAAATTTCTGCCATCTGCTCTCTTCTCAAAGCACCAGCAAGAGTTGTTTCCAATGATTTTAACTGAGCAACAAATTATTTTGAATATATAAATGAAGGTGTGGGAGATAAAACTATATTGTCACTTCATGATGATGCTAACTATTGTGTAACTTGCTTTTAGGAACTAACGGTAGATGTTAGTTTAGGCGTACAAGAAGACTTTAACCATCATGGGATCTTGAGAGGGCCAAATGCACGAACTCATAAGACATTGCCTTACCATTGTGCCAAGCTCCACCCCCTCATCGAAGCTAACAGTATAATCACTACTTTTCGTTTTACTTCAATTATCTCTTATAAAACACATGACGAATTACTAAGGTGAAGTCTTTAATTCATTATATCTAGAAGAAACAAGGCAGGAAAATAATAGAAACATTGTTTCCATCCTCAGACATAAATTGTATCATTCCACTGGACCTTCATTAACCTAGAAAAGCCTAGCCAAGTATACCTGTTTGTGGGACATTCTAATGCCCTTCGATTCATAATCAGACATATTATCTTCATGATCATCCATGTCAGGTGCATTTTCTGAGCAACAGTTGTCTTCTAGTGATTGTTTTATATCCCTGACTGATGCCAAAGAAAAGGACAGAGACCTGGAGACATTCTGATGTCGTTTGAGAGTAGAAAGCTCCTCCTGCTCCAGAATTTCACCATTTTGAGTTAATTTATCTAGTGTCGACAGTGACACAACACATATACTACAATAAATAATTAATACTACCTTCAAAAGCCGAATTTGATGCTTTAAAGCAATTACATCCCCAGAAGAATCTTCATTCACCACAGCCTACAAAATCAAGATACAGAATGTATATAGGTTGATGAGATTCATTCCTTTGAAAACAATTCAAACTGATCATAAAATGGCACTCACATTATTTTGAATAAGTTTAGCTCTCTGAGCAAATTTAAGTGTATTCAATGTTTCAGCAGCACAGCTGCAAAAGTGAAATGGGTAAAGCTCCATCAAGCTTCTATTGCAACCTGTAAAATTTTAATGAAGGAAACATAGTTCCAGACAAACGAACAAACCAGATAGAAGGGCTGACATTGGCAATGATCATTGTTTTCGAGTTTCCGCCAAGAGAGTCCTGCATTTTATGCAAAAACTAGTGATAAATAAGAAGAAATCTGACAATGAAATATCAAAGGAAACTAGTATGCAATCAACCTGAAGAAGAAAAGTTAGCCTGGAATCTCTGTAAGGGACATGCCTCTGCTTCCCATTTGCCACATCCACTAGTATCATAATAACGTGACTGCAGGAATGATCAGAGAATACTGGTTATACAATGAGAAAGCAAAAGTATGACAATTTGAAATCTTTATATTAAACAATACCCCAAGGTAGATAATGATTTATTGATATTAGCCGCTTCTTTTAAACGCTCCCCCTCAGCACCAGAAGTTTTCTGTCTGTTATAAATGATAATTTGGTTAGTATGCACATACATATTCCAAGCTACATCTGTTTCAATCAATCTAGAAGCTCATTACCTTTCTGACCCAGCTAGATCAACCAGGTTTAACCTTGCAAAGCGATAATTAGTGGTAGAATCTTTTTCCCACGTGCTCTCGATTACACATGTAAAAACACTATGGGACCTACTGCTCTCTCTATTCATGTTTGTTGCTGCAACTTTTCTATTTGCAGAACCCTACATGTAGAAAACTACAACTTAATGGAAGAATGTGCATTTAAAATAACTGAGAGAGAGGGATTTGTTTGGGATTCCTCAAAACATGATGATTCCAAAGACTAGTACCTGAATTAGAAGCCTTATAATGTCACTAACACTCTGAACCTCAAACTCAGATAGGTTTTCAACATATACACCCTTCTTGACATCCTCCCGCAGCTATTAAAAGGACAAGCAGCATTGAGAAATACTTTAAAATGCTTTAACAGACATCTGATGAGTAAAGAACTAAACTTACTAGCAAATTAGTAGACGAAGGATCAAGTAGATCTGTAATATTTTCATTGTAAATCTCCAAGAAGGAACACTTGCAGTTGTATTTTAAGTTCTCATCTCTCCGGCTTTCCTCTTCCTGAAAATTTGGTGGGAGAGGAAAAAATTAAAAATTGAAAACAGAAATATGGACTAATGATCAGTACAGATTAGTTATTAAAACAGACTTCTTAATATATAAAACTGAAATGGCCACGAAAGATGAATTTACAGCTTGGATCCTGGCAAACAGAAACTCAAATATACGTGGTGTCATTCCACGATGGGGACTAGGCTTCACGTCCAAATCTTCAATTTCACCAAGCATTGTATATGTTTTCCCACTTCCTGTCTGCAAAATTAACATACTCAGTTATCGTCTTTCTGTTAAAACAATAAAGCACTTTGTTTCCTATCTTAGTCAAATCAATGTCACCCACAAGTCACAACCCATATCTGATTATGTTACACAACACTCTAGAGCAGACAATCTCTCAACAGATGGCATCGATTTTACCCCTGGCAAATAATCCATATACTGGCAAACACTGATATGATATCACAAATTCCCTTTTTAATTCAGAATCATGTTAATATCCAATAGGCATTATATTAGAACTGTACCTAGAAGTCTGTTTATCTACATGTTAACAAATGATAAATCTTATTGCAGAAAAGATAATGAGATAATCTCAAACATACAGCTTAGTTCAGGATAATACCTGTCCATATGCAAACATACAGCTATTATATCCTGAAAGGCAATTCTCTACCATTGGAAGACCAGCCAATCTGAAAATCATTTCCTACAAAACCATAAACCAGACACTGAAATTAGCAACTTCATCTAAAGAAATTTGCACCATGAAACAGTTTTTACAATGTTATCACACCTGGTCAATCGTTTCACATGCAACATGATCAAAGGTGAACCGGTTTTCTGGTTGCCCAATCCAAGTAACGCTCTGAGAGCCTTCTTGTTTGAGGCATCTGTTATAACCATGCATACTCCGCTCCATGCTATTGAGAGGACGAACGCGAATAATAACCTACACGTGATGCAAAATCACGTCACAACAAGCATCAGAACTCAAAAATCCTTCCTATCCAACTTAAATTAGGCCCAATTGAATCCAATATCCTTCTCTCACCTGTACATTGTGGTTAATCCAAAATGAAGAATCTTCTTTGAGGTCGAAGTGAGGAACTTCAACCGTGTTAACAACCGTGGGCGTGCAAGCTGAAATAGGAACCCCTTTATACAACGCAACATAGTTCCCCAAACGCGCACTGAAGCTTCCATCAGCTTTACTCCGAATACTGGAGTTCGGAGGCTTTGTTACACTCTTCGTTGGAGTGCTCTGCGTGGAATTGCTCTCGGAACAAGCCGCGGCACTCGAAGCTCTCCCTGCGGTGCGAGCCACACGCGGAGTGACATTTCCAACTCCAGATCCTCTCCTTTCATCACCCAAGGACGAAATGCCGTCGTTCTTGTGATGCCAACCGAATCTACTTTTCCACTGTGAGTGCTTATCCGGCGTGCGAAGCTCGGTTCCTCCTCCTCTACCTTTGTTATTATTGGCCTTCGATGGAGTCCTCTCGATCTTGCTTTCGTAACTCGCATCGGGTTCTTGAATTGTGTTCAGTGGAGGTCTAGAACCTTCCGCGAACCTCTGAAGTGAGGTAGATGAATCCCCAGGATCCACATTCTCAGTTTCTTCGTGTTTGCCGGCGTTTCGGCGTGGGAGTTTGAAATCCCTCAGCATTCTGGCATAGATAAAAACTCATGAACGATGCAAAATTTATATAAACAAGAGTTTTGCGTTTGCAAACAAGAGTTCGCAATACCTGAAAGAGGAGTTGCAGAACAAAATTCCGAAACGACGAATTTGAGGAGTGCTGAAATCGCTTTGGTTTTCGTTCTGTTGATTCAATATGAGTTCAGCGAGTTGTCGCTAGGGATTTGAGATTGAACTGGAACGTTCAAATTCAACATAGATAAGTTATTCGTACGCACAAACACTCTCTCACTCACTCACTCACTCGGTGTGAGGGGTTCACAGTTTGATTTGAAAATCGCAGTTGAAATCAATGTAGTGAAAAGGAAAAGGGCCTTAGAAATGAATGGCTGAGATATGATCTAGAATTCAAACTGGTGTAAAGGTAAAGTAATCGCGGTTTGGGGATTTGAAATAGCAGGGCATTTTGGTCATTGAATGTGGGTCCATAATTAAGGCAAGGATTCAAAATTTCAACGGCTAGATGCTCTTTAAGGTTATGCGGCGACCTCAGAGACTTGAGCTCTGTAATCTGTTGTGTTGGGTCTAGATTTCTACATGGACTTGGGCCACATAGCATGAGTTAACTATGATCCTTAGTTGAGTCCATCTATTTAGTGTTACATGACTTCTTATCCATTGATTTTTTTCTTTCAAATGTTGATTAAAGAAAGTATAACACTACAATTTAAGGATGCATTACAACAATGCATAGAAAATATATAATAAAAAATAAGCACGCACATTTAATAATAAACATAATTTAGTAATCTTTAAACACTTAACATAGTAAACTTAAAACTAATCTATTTTAAAAATCACAAACTTAACCGCTTAATTTTTTTTTCATTTTTCCTCCTTTTGAATTAGCACAAGCATGAAAGAATTTTATTGAGTATTTTTCTTTCTTTTTTTCTCTCGTTTCATATCAGTACATATTTGAAAATGGCTCAAATGAGTTTGAATGTAAAAAAAAAAAAAAAACAAATGAAATAAAAGAAAAATAGAGAAGAAAAATTGTCAAAAAATAAAGACAAAAACTCACTGTACATGAGGAAAAAGTTTCATAGGAGGAAAAAAAGGAAAATATTACAAGAAGAATAAAATTTTACTAGAGTGAAAACTCTCAAATACGAGGTTACTTCATCATTGCCATTTTCTTATTGTGTCTATTAGGAGAATTTGTGTTATAAGTTTGGTGAAAAAAATGTTATGAATTAACGTGGATGGCTTAATTCGTGATTCAAATGGATGTGCTACTTATGAATGGTTGATTAGAGATGATCAAGGAGGTTTTAGAAGAGATTTGAGCTCTCTTAACAAGACTTAATTTAGTTCAACACCTTAGTTTAGAAGAGATTTTAGTTGAGTTGGATTATAAATTGGTGATCCAGCTTGTGAATTCTAAAGTTCCTTTGGGACATAGATGTTTTTCTATCATTATGGAAATTAAAAGTTGATTTAATCTTGTAGAATTGTGAGTATATACCATGTCTATAGAGATGCTAATTGGTGTATAAATTTCTTTTCTAATTAGGCTTATCTTATGCCTAATGATGAAGTTGTTTTGAAATTTCCCCTCCCCAACTCATTCTCTTTCTTAGAGAGGGTGTCATAGAAGTATTTCCCCAGAACAATTGTTTAAATTTTTATTTTTTCTTGAGCTTGTGTAAGTTCCATTAATAATAAAAAAAAAATGTTAAAGAAACAAAAAGACTAAAATTAAGGATATTAGAGACATTAAAATTACATAAAATATAAAATTTATTTTAAACCTCTAAAAAATTTTGAGACATGCATTTAGTAACGACAAATGCATTTAATTATAATGTGACCTTCTCAAAATGTGATTAACATCACTAAATGTATAACATGTCATCATTAAATATTGACAAAAATCTATTTTGAAAAATATTTAAGTTTTATAAAGACAAAAATTAATTAAAAAAAATTCTAAATAACTAGAGCCAAATATAAATATATTTATAAAGCTAAAAAATATAATCATATCCATTGAAATATTGATAAATTATTTAAAAATATAGATAATCATTGTTAATCAATGATGAAATTACCTCTTGAGATGAAATAAAGTATAGTGAGACATTTGCTTGTCATAGTAAAAAAAATAGTTTTTTATATAAAAAAATTAAGTTGAAAAATTAAATTTGATAGTTTTATTTATGTTTTTAGTGAGATTTAAAAAAAAAAAAGCCCCCTTACCTTTTTTTCCTCCTTTCCTTCGTCTTCATCCTCGCATATCATTTAAAATTAGTCACGTTAAAAAATTATTGATTTTTACTCTTGTTGATTTGGCTTGTTACTTGGTTTTGTACTAACAGAAGAAAAAAAAAAGTCTTTTTATGGTTCAATTTTTCATTAAAGTAGAATGATTTGACGATTTGTTTTTGAATTTAGTGTATTTAAGTTTATACAGGCTTGTTAATTTGTGTTTAACTTTTAGCATGTCTGATTATTTCTTTTCAATATACATTGCAGTGTAATAGTATTCAGTGTTGTTAGACTATTTATTTATGAATCTTTAACAATAATATAAACAAAAATCTATGTGACACGAAAGCATGAAGGTAACACAGTTGACTAATAATATCCTGTGGATGAGTACGTGACACGGAATCACGAGGACGATTCACTTCCGGAGATTGCGTTTCTTCACTTTTTAAAAGTGAACTTTTGATTAAGATATATTTTTATTTATATATATTACTTTTATTGAAATTTACGTTTTTCAAAGTTAATTTATTTTTAAATGTATAATCATTTTTAGTAGACTGTTTGTATTTTTATTTATTATACGAGTGGCATAAAAGTATACAAAATCTTTATACATGATATTTGTTTTTAATGATTTTTAATAATATTACAATAATAACGAATCATGACAAAAAAATAAAAAGAATTATCTATATAAATTAATTAAAATTTTTAACATATGATTATATTAAAGTCTAATTTCATTAGCAAAGTATAATTTGAACACGTGTCACTTGTACATGATAGCCTCTTATTCTAAGGAATGAGTAAGTTATGTACCTAAGAGAAGAGTCCAAAGTCCACATAAGTTACGTATGGATAGCGGTTTCCCTCCCCAATTACCAGTGATTACCCTTTACAAATTTGTAATTTTCTTCTAATATTTTCATTAAAATATTTTTAACATAGAATTTATGTTTTGAGAGTGAATCGCAGACAAATAATTAATTTTTACGTTAGAAAATACTAATCTTCATTTTTGTAATTAAACGTTCTGAGAAATTTTTTTAGAAATATTAGAAAATTTATTTTAATATAAAACTTTTCAAGAACTATGTAGTTAAAACATGAAATACTAATAAATAAATAAAGATTAGTTAAGATATTTTAATTTAATTTAATTATAAAAATATTTTCTAATTTTATAAAAATAATCAAAATTTAATAAATTTAATAATAATGTTATCATTATTTATATTTTATTTATCATTAATATGTTTAAAATCTCTTAAAAAATATTTAAATATATTTATGACTTTAAAGATTATTATTTTTTTAATCTTTTTATATTTTTATAAACATTTAAAAATATGAACATATATTATATGCAACTCAATAACTTAAATTTTATTTTATCTAAATTTATATCACTGCAATTAGATTAGTTAACAAAATTTTGATAGATCTAATAAAATTCAATAGAATAAAAATACAATCTTATACACGATACTGTTTAAAAACAATGCAATTTTATTTTTATTTAATAAATAAAAAATAAAATTTATTAAAAAATAAAAAACATCAACATAAAAATTATATATACTTATTTATTTAGATAATTTTTTAAATTGGACGTGGTTATAAAACCTAAAGTTAAAATCATGACTTATATGGAGAATTTTTAATAAATTTTTAAAAGTTATATAACAATTGTTTATATAAGTAAAGATAAACATCTATTTAGTGATATAATAGAAAATGAAAAGTTAATATAATAAAAATTAATTTTTATTTATATTATAATTTATTTATTTAAATATTTATTGAATTAATTATGTTCGTATTAATTTTGTAACTATATTAGTATATATTAAAAATAATTTTAAAATATATAAAACAATAATACTGTTAATGTGTGTACTATGTTTTTATTTTAAGTATATTTTAAATTAGGACAAATAAATTAATTTAATTTTGATTGATGAATAATATACTAATAAAGTTTCTTCTTATACTAATTAAAGATTTTAAATAATTGAAATAAAAAAGAAATATTTCTAAAATATACTGAATTTATTAAATAATTTTTAATTTTTTCAACTACTTCATTTCTAAAAAAATTATATTACTTCTATGCTAATCAACGTTTTTATTCTGTTATAAATTATGTTAGTACACAGTAAAAGATAATACTAATAATATAAAAACAATAATTTTATGTTTAACTAAGTTTTTATTTCAAATATATTTTAATGTTAGTGTACATTTTTATTAGCAAATTTATTTAACTAATTAATAAAATTATATAAATAGAAATAATTAAGATAAATAATATTTGTTAACATTCTATGGTAAAATTTTCTATTTTTATATATAATTAATTTTAATAAATTTTATCAAATATAGTTTATAATGAAATAATTATTTATATTTTTAACGTCATATAGTTATTGATATAAAATTTTTATATATAATCAATTTTAATAAATTTTTTAATTACAATTTAGAGATAATGATTATAAATCAATTATAATTTCAATTGTTAAATTATATAAAATATTAAATTATTATTTTTTTTCATTTTTATACATAAATAATTTTTTATTAAATATAATTTATAGTTAATTTGTTATTTTGACTTTTAATATTGTAAAAGTCACAGATACTTTATGTAATTTTTTTTTGTTAATATTGTAATTAATATAGTTTTAATTATTTTAAATTTTAATAATTATAATTTTTGTATAGATATATAAAATATTAAGTGAGGGTTAAATTCACACATATATACCTATATTAGTACAATAAGTCTCTTTCAAATAAATTCTAAATTTTTATAAAAATTAATTTTAATTATATTTAGTTTTTCTATCGCGATTAATGTATAACTTTATTTGTTCAATTTTTCTTATTTATTTTTTTCTAAAAAAAATAATTTTTATTTTTTCATGAACT